TATGTATATATGTATGTACTGTATGTATGTGTGTATGAATGGTATGTATGCATGTATGTATGTATGTAATGTATGCATGTAATGTAATGTAATGTAAGGTAATGTAATGTAATGTAGTGTGTGTAATGTAATGTAATGCAATGTAATGTAATGTAATGTATGTCTCTATGTATGTATGTAATGTATGTATGTAAGCATGTATGTATGTATGTATGTAATGTGTGTTTGTATGTATGTATGTACGCATGTATGTAATGTATGTATGTATGTAAGTGAAACCTAACGTAACGTAACGTAATGTGTGTATGTATGTATGTAGTGAAAGTATGTATGTACGTATGTATGTATGTGTGTAAGGTATGTACTGTCGTAATGTAATGTAATGTAGTGTAGTGTATTGTAATGCAATGCGATGTATGTATGTATGAATGTATGCAATGTAATGCGGTGTAATGTAATGTAATGTGATGAAATGTTCTGAAATGTGATGCCGTGCAATGCAATGCGATGTAAAGTATTGCATTGTATTGCATTGTATTGCAATTTGGCGTAATGTAATGTATGTATGCATGTATGAATGCATGTGTGTTTCTATGTACGTTTGTATGTATGTATGTGTGCAATGTAAGTCATGTAATGTAATGTAATGTACTGCCGGCATTCATGCATGTATGTATGTTTGTTATGTATGCATGTTTGTATGTGTGTGTTCGTATGTATGCAAAGTATTCATGTATGTATGTATGTACTGTATTGTATTGCATTGCATTGTTTTGTATTGGCTTGTATTGTATTTGTATGTATGTATGTGTGTATGTATGTAATGTATGTATGTACTGTATATATATATAATGTAGCGTAGCGTAATGCAATGCAATGTAATGTAGTGTCGTGTAGTGTAGTATATGTCTGTATGTGTTGTTCTTCCTGTGCATGTGTATATGTATGTATGTATGGATGTATGCTATGTATGTATGTATGTATGTATGTATGTATGTAATGTGTGTATGTGATGTATGCATGCAATTATGTAGTGTGTGTATGTATGTATGTATGTAGTTATGCGATGTATGTCTGTATGTATGTAATGTAACATAATGGAATGTAATGAAATTTAATGTACTGCATTGTATTGTAATGTAATGTGTGTGCATCTAATTCTGTAATGTATGTTTTTGGTGTAATGTATGTATGTATGTACTTATGCAATGTATAGATGTACGTACATATGTACATATGTGTGTGCGTATTGTGTAAAGTAATGTAATGTAATTTAATATAGTGTAGTGTAATGTATGTATGTATGTATGTCATGTATGTATGTATGTATGTATGTATGTAATGTATGTATGTCATGTATGTATGTATGTATGTAATGTAACATAATGTAATGTCATGTCATGTCATGTCATGTAATATGTATGTATATATGTGGGTATGTATGTGTCCATGAATTTTTTGTGTGATGTAATGTGTTGCAATAAAACGGAATGCAATGTAATGTGATGCAATGTAATGTAATGTGCTGTGCTGTAATGTAAAGTATGTCTGGAATGTAATGCAGTGTAATGGAATGGAGTGGAATGGAACGGAATGGAATGTACTGTATGCATGTGTGTGTGTGCATGCATGCATGCAATTATGCATGTATGCATACATGCATGTATGCATGTATGCATGTATGTGTGTATGTGTGTTTGCATGTATGTGTGTATGTTTGTATGTACGTATGTACGTACGCACGCACGTATGCAAGCCGCCAAGACAGATTGCGCTAAGCTTTGAATTGCCTCTCCAAACGAGGCCTCACATCGCCCGCATCTTGCTCTTACATGCGACTTCCAGCGCAACAAATACTGCGACGCAGCCGTTGCATCTCAAGATGCGCGCCGTTGCCGTGCGCGACTCTCTGTTGCCCCCGGATATAGTTTTCTCTGGTTCCTTTGAGCGTTCCGTTTGCTAGCGGCGTGTTATCTGCACGCTCGCCCCCCGGCCGGCTCATTTCACGCATTCTGGATCGCTTTTTGCGATTTTCTTTTAGACCTGCCTCCGCTTGCGTTGGCCCGTCCTAGGCCTATCCAAGGGGTCCCCGTAGCCCTACACTAGGCCTGCCGACCCTTTGTGCGTAGCTCTCTTCAAGGTCTGTCGAACCCCCATCACGTAGCCCTCTTCTGGGCTGGAGCCCTGTCTGTGGGCCTGCTCTTGGCCTGCTGTAGGACCAACGTAGAATTTTGTCTGTCTACCGAAGGCCTACGAAACCCCATCCCTTCGGCCTTGGCAAAGGCCAACGCCCTGGCCTAGGGCCTACCCAAGGCCTACACACCTCTCTGCTTACGCCCTCTCATAGGCCTACCAACCCCCTTGCCTGGCAACAGGCCTATGCACAGCCTTTTTCTCGGGAGATCTATGCCTGCTGGTGACATTCTATTTTTCGCGCTTGCGACTGGAGTGTCTCGCTTGCAACAGTATCAATCTTGGTTACACAAGCCCTCCGGGCCAGAGCCGGGCCGGAGCCGAGCCGGAGCCGTGCCGGAGCCGGAGCCGGAGCCGGAGCCGGAGCCGGAGCCGGAGCCGGAGAAGGAGCCGGTGACGGGCCGGAGCCGGGCCGGAGCCGGGCCGGAGCCGGAGATGGGCCGGAGCCGGGCCGGAGCCGGGCCGGAGCCGGAGAGCCGGAGACGAAAAAAAGCTTAGTGGGGATGGTTGGGGGTCAGTTTCTGACACGAACCAGAAAGTGCTTGGCTGAACGGGCCAATTGAGAGTACATCCCGAAAAAATTAAACGGCGTGTGGGGACCTTTTGGTGCTTGGGCAATGAAGGAAACCCCGAAAAAGAATCGCCACAGGGTAAGTACCTATCCCGAGAGAAAGGTCCGATTTGCGAACATTAGCTTGTAGGGGAGCCAGCGTTAAGCCATACCACATCTGTCTCGAAGCGGCCTATGTAGAGCCAAAACCCTGACCCTGACTCGGCTGCTTTCTGCTCCCCTGCTAAAAGTTTGACTTTTAGTGGTTTGATGGAAACCCATTAATAGTTGGCAAAAAAGTTAAAGTCCTAACATCCAAGCAACATGCTCCAAAGCTTAAGTCCAGCCATGCCTCAAGGCGTTGTAAAAGTTCCCTTCGCGACTCTCCCACACAAAGTCTTCCGACATGACCTCCACACCGCTGGCAAGGCGAACGCGCACCATGGCGCCGGATGGAAATCCGCCAGATCTCGGCAGCAGGGCTTTGATGGTGGCAAAGTCGTAGGATCCACAAAACGCTTTGGGAGGTCCCAGCGCTTCCAATGGACGTGGGCGAAAGGTGTTTGTGTGTCTTTTTGTTGTTGTTGTTGTTGTTGTTGTTGTTGTTGTTGTTGTTGTTGTTGTTGTTGTTGTTGTTGTTGTTGTTGTTGTTGTTGTTGTCGTTGTTGTTTTTGTTGTTGTTGTTGTTGTTGTTGTTGTTGTTGTTGTTGTTGTTGTTGTTGTTTGTTTTTGTTGTTGTTGTTGTTGTTGTTGTTGTTGTTGTTGTTGTTGTTGTTGTTGTTGTTGTTGTTGTTGTTGTTGTTGTTGTTGTTGTTGTTGTTGTTGTTGTTGTTGTTGTTGTTGTTGTTGTTGTTGTTGTTGTTGTTGTTGTTGTTGTTGTTGTTGTTGTTGTTGTTGTTGTTGTTGTTGTTGTTGTTGTTGTTGTTGTTGTTGTTGTTGTTGTTGTTGTTGTTGTTGTTGTTGTTGTTGTTGTTGTTGGTGTTGTTGTTGGTGTGGTGTTTGTTGTTGTGTTGTGTTGGTTTTGTTGTTGTTGTTGTTGTTGTTGTTGTTGTTGTTGTTGTTGTTGTTGTTGTTGTTGTTGTTGTTGTTGTTGTTGTGTTGTTGTTGTTGTTGTTGTTGTTGTTGTTGTTGTTGTTGTTGTTGTTGTTGTTGTTGTTGTTGTTGTTGTTGTTGTTGTTGTTGTTGTTGTGTTGTTTGGTTGTTGTTGTTGTTGTTGTTGTTGTTGTTGTTGTTGTTGTTGTTGTTGTTGTTGTTGTTGTTGTTGTTGTTGTTGTTGTTGTTGTTGTTGTTGTTGTTGTTGTTGTTGTTGTTGTTGTTGTTGTTGTTGTTGTTGTTGGTGTTGGTGTTTTTGTTGTTGTTGTTGTTGTTGTTGTTGTTGTTGTTGTTGTTGTTGTTGTTGTTGTTGTTGTTGTTGTTGTTGTTGGTGTTGTTGGTGTTGTTGGTGTTGTTGGTGTTGTTGGTGTTGTTTGTTGTTGTTGTTGTTGTTGTTGTTGTTGTTGTTGTTGTTGTTGTTGTTGTTGTTGTTGTTGTTGTTTTGGGGGGAGGTGGCATTCTAAAGCAAAAATCAAGTGTGGATGGATCAAAGCGAATAGAACGGTGTATCAAACCAGCAATCTTGGCAGCTGCATTCAGCGTTTGCTCTTCGTCTTCTCTTTTTGAAGAGGGGGCCGCTATGAAATTGTGTCAACACTAGTGTGCTACTGACCCTTTGTTGTGCATGGTTTGAACAGCTGACCACAAGATTCCGCAACTCGTTTTGCTAAGCCAAATGCTGCGTAGGTCGACAAGTGCGGACAACTGGGAAAGCGCTTCCACTGAGAGACATGGGTTCTAAAACTTCCATTTGCTTAAGCCCCCTGGACAGAATGGCCACATTTCCAGTGCACAGCTCCAAACAAAACCAAAGGAAACAACCATATTCTTAAAGAAAGTCTTAAGCAAATGAAGGCGAAAGTGACTTTCGAATCTGGAAGTGGGGAATGAGTGGGTTTCCTCGGGGCGGGAAACTCAGATTTTTTTCAGCGGGGCGATTTGGACAGAAAATGGGAAACAAAGGACTGACAGCCTTGTTTTTTGGTTGGCCAGCAAACAGGACGCCAGGCTTCCATTTGCTTAAGCACCCTGGAGAAAAATGAACATATATCCAGTAGTGAAATCGATTCCCTTGAAAACCAACAAGGGACAAGCTACCATATTCTTAAGCAAATGGAAGCTCGGCAGGAAGCATCCCCTCGCTCCGGATGAAAAACATCCCTGCCTTCGGCGCTTCACTCGCCGTGCTTCGCGCCTATCGCGGGGCAGAGCTCCGCGACATGGCAATCCAAGCACTAAGACTAAGCTCCCAGTGGATCCATTTACCTCTGTTCTCTTATCAGGGAACCAAGGGAACCACCTGGAAAAACAAAAAAACATAGATGGTTTAAAAACCTAAGAAACACAATCGCTGGGACTCACCAAGTTCAGAACTCCCAGACGGGTCAACCTCACCAGACCAGCTTCTCGTTCGCCGAAGTGGCGATCGAGGTTGCAGGGCAACCTGGAGGGTTCAAAAACGCAACAACAAAAACAGTAAGACCCAGGGTTGGGGATTAAAAACAAAGGCTCAGCACCTTTTCCAAAAAGGCTTTGAGTTTTTTTTGATACAGGTACTGATCAAATTCGAATCGAAACTTTCCGGGGGGCCCAACCTCCGGATAACTTCATGGAGATAGACCCTAGTATGCACATTCCAGTTGGTTGCTTCGCTCCATGTAAACCACCCAAGCAAACGAGAGAACCTCACCCAACACCGACGCTTGCTTTTTAATATCTAGGCCTCACCTCAAAAAAGGCACGCCATGCCGCCAGCGGGCCCATAAAACAATTTGCAAGGGCCATGTTTGGGGCCGTTGATCTTTAGTGGCTTCCCCCCTCCAAAAAACAGGAAGAAGTCACAGCCGGGGAAAAAGCTGCACGTGGCGATCAAGGTGAAACTTGGCGGCGCAATGCCCTTTAGGTCGGCAAGTAAATGGGAGCACTAAACCCAAAGGTTGTTTTTGGCTTTACTCGTGCATTTCTGTTGGTGGATTAAACAAGGGCGACCAACATGCTGGTTTCACTCGTTTTTGGGGTCCCCATTTTGAGACAGACGGCACTGGGGGGAAGTTGTGGCCATCACGGTGCTTTCTGGGTTCCGACAATTGGTGGGCATCATGGTGGCGATTTGTGACTAGGTCCTCCAGTAGAGAGCTTAGAATCCGCCGACCCCTTCTCCTCAAAGGGGGAGGCGCACGGGAAGGGTGGTTACAGCACAAGTCCAAGGTGGGTTGGTAAATGAGCATATCCGAAGATTCAACATTATCAGCGTAAGCAATACCGTCATCGTAGCATCCTTTGCACCTCAAAGATGTCTTTCTACACCTTTCAAGTGTGGGGTTAGAAAGCATTGGTGATGCAGAGGATGCTACGATGATAGTTATTTTCCGAGCTACTATTATCGTTGTCATCCTTATCTTTCTCCTATCTGATCAGATCTGTGTCATATACGTTTCAAGCGTGCTGTTAGACCCGGTTGGAGATGCAGAGGATGCGTAGTGATGACGATGATGATGACGATGATGACGACGATGATGATGACGATGATGATGATGATGATGATGACGATAATGACCACCATCATGGTGATGATGACATGGTCATCATCATCACATTATAATCGTTGTGACCTGATTGGAGATGCAGAGATGCGTAGTCATCATTATCATCATGACTGTTGGCGATGCAGAGGATGCACGATGATGGTTATCATCGATGATGATAACGGTGATGACGACGCTGATGGGCGACGGCTGTGATGACGCCTTATCTTTTTCATATTCCCGTTAGACCTGATTGGAGATAGCACAAGTTCAAGGTGGGTTGGTAAATGAGCATATCCGAAGATTCAACATTATCAGCGTAAGCAATACCGTCATCGTAGCATCCTTTGCACCTCAAAGATGTGTCTTTCTACGCCTTTCAAGTGTGGGGTTAGAAAGCATTGGTGATGCAGAGGATGCTACGATGACAGTTATTTTCCGAGCTACTATTATCGTTGTCATCCTTATCTTTCTCCTATCTGATCAGATCTGTGTCATATACGTTTCAAGCGTGCTGTTAGACCCGGTTGGAGATGCAGAGGATGCGTAGTGATGACGATGATGATGACGATGATGACGACGATGATGATGACGATGATGACGACGATGATGATGACGATGATGATGATGATGATGACGATAGTGACCACCATCATGGTGATGATGACATGGTCATCATCATCACATTATAATCGTTGTGACCTGATTGGAGATGCAGAGGATGCGTAGTCATCATTATCATCATGATGCAGAGGATGCACGATGATGGTTATCATCGATGATGATAACGGTGATGACGACGCTGATGGGCGACGGCTGTGATGACGATCCTTATCTTTTTCATATACGATTCAAAAGTCCCGTTAGACCCGATTGGAGATGCAGAGGGTGCGTAGTCATCATTATCATCATTACTGTTGGTGATGCAGAGGATGCACGCGTAGTCATCAGTATCATCATGACTGTTGGTGATGCAGAGGATGCACGATGATGGTTATCATCGATGATGATGACCGTGATGATGACGATGATGAGCGACGGCTCTTTATTTTTTTCATATACGATTCAAAAGTCCCGTTAGACCCGATTGGAGATGCAGAGGGTGCGTAGTCATCATTATCATGATGACTGTTGGTGATGCAGAGGATGCACGATGATGGTTATCATCGATGATGATAACGGTGATGATGAGATTGGAGATGCAGAGGGAGCGTAGTCATCATTATCATCATTACTGTTGGTGATGCAGAGGATGCACGCGTAGTCATCATTATCATCATGACTGTTGGTGATGCAGAGGATGCACGATGATGGTTATCGTCAATGATGATGACCGTGATGATGACGATGATGGGCCACGGCTATGATGAGCATTACCATCATGACTGTTGGTGATGCAGAGGATGCACGATGATGGTTATCATCGATGATGATGACCGTGATGATGACGATGATGGGCCATGGCTATGAGTACCTTATCTTTTTCATATACGATTCAAAAGTCCCGTTAGACCCGATTGGAGAGGCAGAGGGCGCGTAGTCATCATTATCATCATGACTGGTGGTGATGGTTATCATCGATGAGGACGCACGATGATGGTTATCATCGGTGATGATGAGTTGGAGATGCAGAGGGTGCGTAGTCATCATTATCATCATGACTGTTGGTGATGCAGAGGATGCACGCGTAGTCATCATTATCATCATGACTGTTGGTGATGCAGAGGATGCACGATGATGGTTATCATCGATGATGACGATGATGAGCGACGGCTATGATGAGGATCCTTATCT